GATTTGATTTGAAACTGTCTCATTGCTATATGTTTATCAATAAAACTTTGAAAAGAAAAAAAAAGAATACGTGTAGTTTGATTCTAATTTAATAAATGTTTTGAAGAAGCAAAAAAAAAAAAAAAAAAAAACTTCCGACAATTACCAGATGTGCTGATAACTCACTATTATTATGGTCTGTATTGGGTTAGTTTGCTGAGTTCAAGTACCTACAATCTTTGGACTGGCATCAAGTATGAAAAGGTCTTTTATTTTTTTTAAAATCTTATAGAGAAACAAATAGCAATGAGACAGTTTCCAAGCTGATTAGTAAGACAGTTTCAATAATTAATACATTGCATATTGTTGTCTTCTTAGTGGTTATTCATGGTACAAGATGCAGACATGACATCCTGTTACATTATCCTGTGGTCCACGAACACTATTGGTACAAATCTTTCTATTCATCGAATTAAGAGAAAGTAGCTGTATATCTATCCTAGCTATTTTGTGAAAAGGTCTTTTAAAGACTTCTCCATGGGGAGATGGCTCAGTGGAATAAGTGCTTCCCTGGCAAGCGAAGGGCCTGAGTTCAACCCCCAGTTCTGAAAGAAAAAAAAAAAAAAAAAAAAAAAAGACTTCTCCAAATACAGCTTCTCTAGCTGCAGTAGAACACACATCTCTGACAAGACAAAACAAAAAAGGTGGATATGTTGGGAGCCAAGGAAGCTAGGAAATTGATCAAAAGTGTGTAGGGTGGGACTGGACCTCAGTGCCTAAAGCAAACAAGCTACCTCAGTCCTGAGATAAACATCCTGTCTGGTTAAGGGCAGCTATTGGTCACTAGGCAACCTTGTGTCACATGGTACTAACTTTGCAAAAGTATAAATAAGATGCTGTTTTGTTGTGGGAAGAAAAATACATATGTATATATGCATACACAAGATTGTTAGTTAGATATACAGCTACTTTCTTTTAGTTCATTGAGAAGAAAGGCTTGTACTAATATTGTTTAGACAAGATATCATGTCTACATCTTGTCCTCTGAATAACTACTATGAAGACAACAATATGCAGTTTATTAATTCTTGTAACTGCCCTACTAACCTATTTTGAAACTGTTTCATTGCTATTTTATCTTTTTTCTCATTAAAATGAATTTTAAAAAAGAACCTTGATCTTTCACTTTCCCAATCTGTGTGCGCTAGCACCGTGCTGGGGCCACTCATTCACCCACCCATCATCTACAGAACCGCTCCCACTGCTGGATCAGACACCCTCCCTGATCCAGAAGGCACTGTCAGGGCTTCCACAGTCCCCTAAGCTTTCTGGATTCATCACACTGCCTTAAAATTCCCTGCTTACATGTCTCCTTCTTCGATGGCCACCAGAAATAAGTTTACCGTCCCAGTTAGAGGTTTGTGGTCTGTGGGCAGCCGCATAATTGGGATCTCCCTTCCTCTTTCAATTCCCCTGCAGCAGGGCTCAGGAGGGGCCATGGGCAGCACTCTGGCTTCTTTGGAAAGCTTAATTCCACTCTGGCTCCCGGAGGCAGTTTCAGCTCCATGTACAAACCACATGGACTCGCCTTCCTGTGCCCTTCCCTCTGCCTTGGTTGATACCTGTTAGAACTTTCTTTTTCTGTCAACAGTGCACATGTCCACGAAGAAAAAGGCTTCAGGACTTTCTCCTTCAGAAAACCTCCTCTATCTGCCTCCAAGACAGTGATTTGTTTGAATCAATCTGTCCAGGTCCTTTCCCAAGAATGTGTTCCAAGAGGTGCCTTGGACAGAAATTGTGCGAACTTTGCTTTTTACAATTTCCTCTTACTAAGCACCATGTAGGGTGTGCCCTGCCAGAAAGATCTTCCTTACAGTCATGTTCTGCAGATAAGCCAGCTGTCAGCTGTCAGCTCCTGTTGACTCGGACTTCTCTTCTGATGAAAGCAAAAGAGGTCTGGCATCCAGGAACAAAAAATTTTCTAGGAAGAGGAGGAAGGGCCTGTCACTTCCTCAGAAAATCATTTTTCTCCATTCTGCACTATGCACTTTACACATTTCTGATCATTAATGTTTAATTCTGTCTCTAAGACATCAACTCTTGCATGTCTGGTGTATGTCCTTTAGTCTGTACATCATTTTTGTGGGTGTTTCATTGAAGCTGAGGCATTTCTCTTTCTTCTAGTCCTAGATTGCTGGGATCTAGACATGTTGCTGCTTCTATATAATGCCTTAGACCTAAGGCGGCCCCAAAAGTTTGAATTGTAGTTGGACCATAGAGGCACTACACTCATCAGGAAACTCATCTGCTAATTAGTGTGGCAGATGAATGTAATTTTACGAGGTGGGGCTGGTTGGAGATGGGTCACTAAGGAAATGACCTGGAAGAGTATACTTGTGCCCTTTATTCTTCTCTTTTCTCTCTGCTTTCTGGTCACCATAGGCTGGGTGCCTTTTCCTCCACTGTATCCCTCTGCCATCCTGTTTCTGCACTGGAGCTAGCCAGTTGTAGACTAAGAAAAAAAAAGTGTAGCCTAAAACAATGAGCCAAAGTAGACCCTTCTCCTTTAGACTGCACATGTGGGCATTGTGTTTTGGGGGCCAGAAAAAAAGAGTGAAGTAGATTTTGTTACCAGAAGTAAGAGACCATGCTGTGCCTGTACCTGACCACATGGCTTAGAAGTATCTGGAACCTGTTGGGAGGAAGAACTTGCAAAGCTTTAGGGGTGCAGCCTAGAGAAGGTCTAGGTTGCTATGCACAGAGACTGATGAGGGACACTGGTCCGGAATAAGAAAGCCATGGGGCTGACAGAAGCATGAATGGCGAGGGCCAGGCTCAGGAGGGGAATGTCATCCGGGATCAAGGATGTCATTGGCAGTTGGACTCAAGGCCATGGGTGTCACTCTTTGGCAGAAAATTCATATATATTTTTCCTGTGCCCTCAGACTTCATGAGAGACTAAGATTAAGGCAGGGAACTAATTAATCTGGTGGAGGAAGTATCAAAGCATCCCTACACTCAGGTTAAGGCATGGGTGCTGCTAGCTGCTGCTAGCCAGCACTACTGTGAAAACTAGAGACAAAACTCCCATGTGAAAAGTTCAAGGGCCGGGAAGATGGCTCAGTAGAATAAGTGCTTGCCTGGCAAGCGCAAGGGCCTGAGCTCAATCCCCGGTTCTGCAAAAAGAAAGAAAGAAAGAAAGAAAGAAAGAAAGAAAGGAAGGAAGGAAGGAAGGAAGGAAGGAAGGAAGGAAGGAAGGGAGAAGTTCAAAGTTTTATACCAGAAAGGAGGTGCCTACAAGTTTGGGGCAAAGGATAGTATAGTTGAGGAAAAAAAAAAAAAAAAAGTACTAAAAAAGAAGCCAAGGGCCAGCCAGATAGCTCAATAGATTAAAGCATTGCCTTAGGCATATGCAGGGAGCGGGGTTCAATCCCCAGCATGCTGTGCTGGCCCCACCCCTGGGGCGTGCTGAGACAGCAACAGAGACTGAGCGTGGTGGCACACGTCTATTACCCCAGGGCTTGGGAGGCTGAAAATGAGGAGCACTACAAGTTTGATCCGTGTAGTGAGATCCTGTACTAAACATATTAAAAATAATAATAAAATAAAGATTCATAAAAGAAGCCATGTGCTTTGGACCAGGCCAGAAAGAAAGACAGCTTGAAGGCATCTCAAAAATTAGCAAGACTCAGGGCTAGAGAGATAGCTCTGGGGTCTAAGTGCCTGCCTGGCAAGTGTAAGGAACTGAATTCAATGTTCAGTACTGCAGGCCATGTGGGTCCCATGCCATGCCAACCACTGAAACCAGGTGTGGTGGCACATGCCTGTACTCCCAGCACTGCAAAGGCTGAGACAGGAGGAACACTATGAGTCTGAACTGCGTAGTAAGACCCTGTACCAAAGAAAGAAAAGAAAAGAATTAGTCAGATCCAGCTTCATAGAAAACTTTCATTTGGGCAAGAGCCCCTGGGTCTCCTGTCCAGAAGTCCTGCCTAGGGAGCTGGTTCCCTGAAATTCCTTTCACAGTTCTCAGCCATCCAGGCACTTGTCCACCTCTGCAGATATGATCCAGGGCTACTGCCTAAAGTGGCAGCAGACCTTGGCACCATCAGTGTGGTGCTGGTTTTTATGGGCTTCAGAATGCAAGTCATGGGGTCTTCCACACAGATTTCACAGGAAGGCCTGGGAAGCTGGGCAGTGTGCCCCTGAGAAGCTTCTGCATGAGGTTGTGAGGGTAATGCTGAAAATTCAGTGGGGACCCCAGGAAGTTGAAAGTGCCAAAATGTGGAAAGTGCTGAGGAAAGCTGCCAGCAGAGAGCAGAGCCAGCCCAAGAGAAAGGCCATGGAGGGGCAGGGCCGGGGCTTCCAAGTCCTTTAGGGTTGACATCTCACCACCACACGTCCTGGCTGCCAGACACAGAGCTAAAAAATTTCATGTTTGACCTGCTGGGCTTTGGTCTGATTCCTTTTCTCCCCTCTTTCTGCCTTTTGGAATGGTAATGTTTATTCTGTGCCATTATTATGTTCAGAGTGTTTAACTTTCTTTTTTGATTTTTACAAGGTCATGCCGATAAGAGGTTTTGCCTTGAGTCTCAGAGGAGACTTAGACTTTGGGGTTGGCCTTTTTAGCAATGCTAGAGTTAGCAAGGCTTTATCAAGACTCTTATGGATGAATTAAAAACATTTTACATAATGACATGGATGTGAGTCTTTTCAGGAGCAAGGAGAGGATATTACGGTTTATATTTAAGATGGTTCTGTACCATCTTTTTACAAATGGATTGTGGCTGCTATTCTCATTGGTAGATTCATCCACTCATGACTTCAGTATCTTACCATGCTGTTAGGAGGTAGGTCAGCGATACGGGGTTTGGTGTTACATTTGGGCATTGTTCTCAAGCCTTCCAAGGCAGACACACCTCAGTAAACCTGCAGTGATCTTCCACAACATTGACCTTCAGCTGCCACATGATCCTCCAGCACCCCAGTGCACAGCAGCCATTTTTTTTGAATCTTCTTTCTTTGATTTGGTAGGACTCTTCCAGTTCTGATCCTGTAAGCCAACATCGTAAATCACTTATACCAGTGGTGGTAAACCTAGGGCATGTGTGTCGTAGCATGTTGTTTGCCATCATGGCAAACTCTGCAAGGTTTGCCATCGCTGCCTTACACAATTGTATATACATAATATAAAATATTATATATATATATATATATATATATATATATATGTATGTATATATAATCTGTTCCTCCATTGAACACTAACACACAGGGCTTACTTGACCTGGAAGGTATATTCTTGTCCAAAGTCCTCCCTTGTCCATCTGCTCCCTGGTTACCATAGGTTAAGCATATTTGCCTCCACCACACCCCTCTGCCATTCTATTTCTGCTCTGGGACCAGCCATCCACGGACTAAAGCTGTGAACCAAGACACATCTCTCTCCCTTTAAGTTGCAGGTGTCAGGTACTAAGTCTCAGGGTTGATAAAGTGACAAAGCACCACACAGCGATGTACTGCCGATCCACAGTGTGCGCTCAACCGGTTTTACTTATTTGTTGCCTGTTTTGAGATGGGCAACTTTACCCTCAATTCTGCCACCATAAACAATGCTAACAAGAACATTCTTCTAAATAAATGAGTCTCTGGAGCAACTCATCTTGAAAATGTATTTTCACAATATCAGAGAACAGATATGTTAATTTGACTAAGGGTTTCTAGATTGCTTTCCAAAACTATCAATTTTATGTTTGCATGGGCAGTAGATAAGAATTTCCAGCCCAAATCTTCACCAATCCTTTCTTTTTTCAATTTTTTAAAGAATGACAAATGGTTTTAAAAACTAGAAATAATATAAAATTTCATTAAACAAAGTAAGAATAGGAGCTCAACAATGGTTACTGTACTACATAATGTAATCTTCAAATTAGTTGTTTAGGTTAGCAGATATAAACCTGAAAAATTGGGGGAAAAGTTTTAATAAATTAAAAACAAAAAAATTAAGCATTAATTGCTCCATTCAACAACAGCAGAAAAGAGCAGTACAATTATCCAAACTATACTGTATATATAAACAGATATATCTTTTTCCCTTTTTTGTTGTTGTTGTTGTCCTTTTCCTCATCCCAGCTTTTCATTCCCATTGTACAGATTCGTTCTCTTTCACAGAATTTATTGTACCTTTCAGATTTTGTTTACCCTCTTGGGTTCTCACACTAGCAAGACAACACAGTGCTTACACCTGTGGGCCTAATTTATGTCCCTTTGCAATAGTCTTTGCTAGTTGCATCCCTTTATCTACAGAAGCCTCAAATTTATCTTTTAATAGCTGAGTAATACTCCATTGTGTAAAACTACTACATCTATTTTCCCCATTCCTCAGTTGATGGGCATTTGGGTTGTTTCCAAGATTTAGCTATGACAGATTGTGCTGCTATAAACATGGATGCACTGAGGCACAATGATTTTACTCCTTTTGGAAAAACACCTAGGAGGGAAGTATCTGGCATGAGTGGGACCTCCACTCCTAGCTATTGGAGGTACACCACACTGAGTTCCACAGTGGTTATACAAGTCTGCACTCCCACTAATAATGGAGAAGGGTTCCTTTTTCCCCATAGCCTCTCCAGAATTTGTTATTGGTTGACTTCTTGATGATAGCCATTCTTTCTGGCATAAGATGGAATCTCATGATCATTTTAATTTGCATCTCTTAAATGATCAATGATGTTGAATTTTTTTATATAGTCATTTGCCATTTGTACCTGTTTATTTCTGAAGTGTATATTCCTCTCAGATGTCCATTTTTGGTTCTTTGAATTGTGGAGGCCTGATTTTTTAAATTCTTTATATGCTGTAGATAGGAGTCCTTTGTCTCAGGGACAATCAGCTATTCTTTGTCTTCAGATTCCTGAGTTTTCTTTTTTTGTTTTTGTTTTCGTTTTTGGTGGAACCAGGGATTGAACTCAGTCCATTGCGCTTGCCAGGAAAGTGCTTATTCCACTGAACCATCTCCCCAGCCCTGGGTTTTCTTTTTACTCCATTGGTGATTTCTTTTGATGTGCAGAAACTTTTCAAAAAGATGAGATCCCAATTGTTGATTCTTTGAATTATTTTCCATGCAATTTTGATTTTGATCATGAACTCGACCTACACCTATGTCGTTAAGATTTCTACCTACTTTCTCCTGTAGAAGAGTTAGTGTTTCTGTTTTAATATTTAAACCTTTGATCCGTTTTGACTGTAGTTTTGTACATGGTGATAGGCATGGGTCTAATTTTAGCTTTTAACATGTGGAAAGCCAGTTTGTCCAGCACCATTTACTAAAAAGGCTATTTTTCTTCCAGTGAATGTGTTTGGCTGCTTTGTCAAAGATAAGGTGGCTGATTGTGTGGAGTTGTGTCTACATCTTCTAATTTATTCTATTATTCTCAGGTTTGTTCTTATGTAAGTACCATGCTAATTTTATCACAGTAGCTTTGTAATATAGTTTCAAGTCAGGGACTGTGATGCCTCCTGTATTTGTTTTGCTGTTCAGGATTACTTTTGCTATTCTAGTTCTCTTCTGATTCCTGATGAAATTTAGGGATTTTTTTTTCTAGATCTGTGAGGTATATTAATAATATTGTAACTGGAATTGTATTGAATCTGTATAACAATTTTGGGAGTATGGTCATTTTCACAACGTTGGTTCTTTTTTTTTAATATAACTTTATTTATTTATTTATTTATTTATTTATTTTGTGTGTGTGTGTGTGTGTGTGTGTGTGTGTGTGTGTGTGTGGCTAGTTCAGCCCACCAGGGGGCAGGGCTGGCTGGCATGTGGTGCTGGGGATTGAACCGCGGTCCCTGTGCTTTTGCTTAGATGAGCTTGTTCTAAGTAGGTGCTTTAGACCAATGAGCCATCTCACCAGCCCCACAACATTGGTTCTTCCTATCCAGGAGCAAAGAATATCTTTCCTTTTTCTGAAATTCTCTTCAATATCTTTTTTCAGAGTACCATAATTTTCACTGTGTAAGTTTTCCTTCATGAGATAGATTCTTAGTATTTTATTTTTGTGGGTATTATTGTGAAAGGCATGGTTTCAAATTTCTCTCACGATGCAATCATTGTTTGTGCATAGGAATGTCGTTGATTTTTTAAGTGTTGATTTTGTATCCTTCTATGATACTGAATTTGGTTATTAAATCTACAAGTCTCTTTCTTGGTGGAGTTTTGAAGTTTTCTATGTAGAAGATTAGGTCATGTGCAAATAATGATAATTTCACTTCTTCCTTTCCAATTATTGTTCCTTTTATTTCTTTCTCTTATCTAATTGCTCTGGCTAATGTTTCCACAACTACACTGAACAGGAGTGGTCTCAGTGGGCACCCTTGTCTTGTTCCTGATTTTAAACTGAAGGCTTTCCATTTTGTGCATTTAGTATGACCCTGGCTGTTGGTTTGTCATAGATGGCTTTTATCAGGTTGAGGTAAAGACCATCTATTCTGATTTTCTGTAGGGTTTTTATCATGAATGAGTGCTGGACTTTGTCAAAAGCTTTTTCTGCATGTATTGAGATGGTCATGTGATTTTTGTCTTTGGCTCTGTTGATGTGGTGTATTACATTTATAAATTTGTGTATATTGAACCATCCCTGCATTCTTGAGATGAAACCCTCTTGGTTGCGATGCGCAGTAGTCCTTTGCTATTTCACAGTGTGACTTTTGTAGACTCACTTTTTTGGGGTCTTCAAAAAATATTAATCTAAATTGTATACACAAGATAGTTAGGATAGGGGCTGGTGAGATGGCTCAGTGGTCTAAAGCACCTACTTAGAACAAGCTTAGCAAAAGCACAGGGACCGCAGTTCAATCTCCCAGCACCACATGCCAGCCAGCCCCCCCCCCTGGGGGGCTGAGCTGGCCACACACACACACACACACACACACACACACACACATCTTTTTAAAAAAAGATAGTTAGGATAAAGACAGTATGCAATGTGTTAATTTTTTTTCAAAGTTTTATTGATAAACAGATATCAATGAGACAGTTTCAAATCAAATCGAAAGTACAGTTTCAACAAATAATACACTGCTATTATTCTTCTTAGTGGTTAATTGCTGTACAAGATGC